GAATGAATGAACAAGCAAGCCAGCCCAAGTAAACAAAATCAGAAATGAAAACGGAGAAATAACTGATACCAGAGAGATACAAGGATTATAAAAAAAATATGAAAGATTACCTATCAACAAATTGGAAAACCTAGAAGAAATGGATAAATTCCTAGAAACATATAAGCTCCCAAAACTGAATCAAGATAAATAGAAAATTTGAACAGATTACTAGCAATGAAATTGAATCAGTAATCAAAACTACCAGGAAACAAAAGTCCAGGACCAGATGGCTTCACAAACAGATATTTATTTATTTGCTTATATGGGGGAGGTGGGTTGAGGCAGAGGGAGAGAGAGAAAGAGAATCTCAAGCAGGCTCCACCCCCAGTGCAGACCCTGATGTAGGGCTCCATTTCATGACCCCTGAGATCATGAACTGAGCTGAAATCAAGAGTTGGATGCTTAACCGACTGAGCCACCCAGGTGCCCCAGGATACAAATATTTGCAAACAATCAATATGATACACCATATCAACAAGACAAATGATAGAGGCGCATGGATGACTCAGTCGGTAGGGCATGTGACTCTTGATCTCAAGGTTTTAAGTTCAAGCCCTATGTTAAGTGTAGAGATCACTTAAAAATAAAACCTAAAAAAAAAAAAAAAAGACAAGACAAAGAATTAAAACAATATGATCATTTCAATAGATGCAGACAAAGCATCTGGCAAAGTACAATATTCATTCCTGATAAAAACCCTTAACAAGGGCACCTGTGTGGCTCAGTTGGTTAAGTGTCTGCCTTCTGCTCAGGTCATGATCCTGGGGTCCTGGGATCAAGTCCTGCATCAGGCTCCCTGCTCAGTGGGGAGTCTGCTTCTCCCTCTCTCTCTGCCCGTCCCGCTGCCTATCCTTGTGCTCTGTCCCTCTCTCAAAAAGATAAATAAAAACTCTTAACAAAGTTAGTTTAGAGGGAGCTTACCTCAACATAATAAAGGCCGTTTATAAAAAGCCACAGCTAACGTCATACTTAATGGTGAAAAACTGAGAGCTTTTCCCCTGAGATAAGGAATTAGACAAGGATACTCACCACTCTTTTTTTTTTTTTTCAAGTAGGCTCCATGCTCAGAGTGAAGCCCAACAAAGGGCTTGAACTTAAAACCCTGAGATCCAGACCTGAGCTGACATCAAGAGTCAGACACTTAACTGACTGAGCCATCCAGGTGCCCCCATTCTCACCTCTTTTATTCAACCTTGTACCAGACATCCTAGCCACAGCAATGAGACAAGAAAAACAATAAAAGGCATCCAAATTGGTAAGGAAGAGGTAAAACTTTCACTGTTTGCAGATGACACGATATTATGTATAAAAAAACCCTAAAGGCTCAACCAAAACACTACTGGAACTGATAAAGGAGGGGTGCCTGGGGGGCTCCCTCTGCCTTCAGCTCAGGTCATAATTTCAGGGATCCTGGGATTGAGCCCTGCATCAAGCTCTCTGCTCAGTGGCGAGTCTGTTTCTCCCTCTCCCTCTGTGATCTCTCTGACTCTCACTCTCTCTCAAATAAATACATTAAAAAAATCTTTTTTTTTTTAAAAGAACTGATAAAGAAATTCAGTAAGGTTGCAGGATACAAAATCAATATACAGAAATCCACTGCATTTCCATACACTAATAATAAAATAACAGAAAGAGAAATTAAGAAAACAATCTCATTTATAATTGCACCAAAATATTAAAATATCTAGTAACAAAATTAATCAAGAAGGTAAAGATCTGTACTCTGAAAACTATAAAATATTGATGAAAAGAAATTAAAGATGACCCGAACAAATGGAAAGATATTCCATGCTCATGGATTAGAAGAACAAATATTGTTAAAATGTCCATACTACCCAAAGGAATCTACAAACGCAATACAATCCTTATCAAAAGTACTAACAGAATTGTTGACAGAACAAATAATACTAAAACTTGTAGAAACCATAAAAGATCCTGAATAGCCAAAGCATCTTGAAAAAGAAGAACAAGACTGGAGGTATCACAATCCCAGGTATCAAGATCTACTACAAAGCTATAGTAATCAAAACAGTATGGTACTGGCACAAAGAGAGACACCTAGAGCAGGAGAACAGAATAGAGAGCCCAGAAAGAAAACCATGATTATATGGTCAATTAACCTTCAACAAAGGAGATAAAAATATGTAGTGAGAAAAAGACCGTCTCTTCAACAACTGGTGTTGGGAAACCTGGGACAGCTACTTGCAAAAGAATGAAACTAGACCACTTCCTTACACCGTACACAAAAAATAAACTCAAAATGGATTAAAGACCTAAATGTAAGACCTGAAACCATGCAAATACTAGAAGAGATTGCAGGATTTTGACATTGGCCATAGCAACAATTTTCTGAATATGTCTCCTGAGGCAAGGGACACAAAAGCAAAAATAAACTATTGAGACTACATCAAAATAGAAAATTTCTGCACAGCAAAGGAAACTAATAAAGCTAAAAGACAATTCACTGAATGGGGGAAGATATTTGTAGATGACATATCTAAAGAGTTAGTATCCAGGGTCATCTGAGGGGTTCAGTAGTTGAGCATTTGCCTTTGGCTCAGGTCATGATCCTGGGGTCCTGGGATCGAGTCCCGCAACAGGTTCCCCATAGGGAGCCTGCTTCTCTGTCTGTGTCTCTCTGTGTCTCAATAAATAAATAAAATCTTTAAAAAAAGAGTATCCAGAATATATCAAGAACTTATACAACACCAAAAGAACAAAAAACAAATAATCCAACGAAAAAGTGGGCAGAAGACATGAACAGACATTTCTCCACAGAAGACATCCAGATGGCCATGAGATACATGAAAAGATGCTCAACATCAATCATCATCAGGGAAATGCAAATCAAAACCACAGCGAGATATCAACTCATACCTGTCAAAATGGCTAAAATAAAAAAAAAACATAGGAACAATAGATGCTGGTGAGGATGTGGAGAAAGGGGGAACCTTCTTACACTGTTGGTGGGAATGCAAACTGGTGCAGCCACTGTGGATAATAGTAAGGAGGTTCCTCAAAAAGTTAAAAATAGAGCTACCCCATGATCCAGTAATTCCACTACTGGGTATTTACCCAAAGAATAAAAAAACACTAACTCAAAAAGACACACGCACCCCTTTGATTATTGCAGCATTATTTACAATAGACAAATTATGAGAAGAACCCAAATGTCCTCTGATTGATGAATGGATAAAAAAGACACAGTAAATACACACAGGGAATGACATTTTACCATTTGCAATAACATGGATGGATCTAGAGGGCATAATGGTAACTGAAATAAATCAGTAAGAGAAAGATAAATAACATACGATTTCACTTATATGTGGAATTAAAGAAACAAACAAGCAAAAAAACGAACAAAGTGGGGAAAGAGACAAATATCAGAAATGGACTCTTAAACAGACTCTTAACTGTAGAGAGCAGATGGTTACCTGAGGGGAGGTGAGTCGGGGGATGGGTGAAAAAGGTGAAGAAAAAAATACACTCACCGGGAGCACTGGGTAAAGCATAGAGCTGTTGAATCACAATATTGTATCCTTGAAACTAATGCTAACACTCTATGTTAATGGTTAAAATTTAAAAAGAAAAGACTAGAAGAGCACGGATGCGCTCTGCTGAGAGTTTTGTGAGTCTCAAAATTTCTCTTCACATTTCATCTTCTAGAACTCACATGGCCCCATGTATAAGCAAAGAGCCAGGTGGAAGGATGTATTTTCTGGCTAGACAGTCCAAGTGCAATACTTTGGAAAGGAGAGAACCAAATTTTAGTGGATAGTGAGCTGTTCTCCCACAATTTAAACAGAAAAAAACCCACAAATAATGTCCATTTGCAGCTGTCTCCGGCAACCTTCCAAGCCTTTTCTCTAATGCTCCATGTGGACTCACCAGAATGGGCGGGCTTGTCAGGACGCTGTCCTTGGACTTGAGATGAGGGACCTGATTCAATCTGGGAAAAGGGGAAGGAACAGGCAGGGTCTCCTCAAATAAGTGCTTCCTTCCCTGTTTTGGTAAAAAATACTTCTCAGGCTGAGCAATCACTAACTGCTGGCTTTCAGAGTGGTGGTTGTTTTTTAACAAAGAAATTGAAGAGCTGAACCACTCTGCTCTTTGCTTCCCTGAGAGAGAGGAGGCAGAGAATGGATGGAAGAGAGTAGAAGCCTGGAACTAATGCTTATTCAGTGGGACACTTTGCCGCTAATTACGCTTCACTTGAATAACAGTACGTGGGAGGTGGGCCGTTTGCTCCAGCTAATGGTGCACCATGGGACAGGTATTGCCTGATGCGGGGAGGGAGGCTGGAACAGCCACCCCAGGGGCCAATAAAACCAATTTTATGGAAGAAGCCACCTTTGTTAAAAACCAACCCCAACCACATGTGGAATTCTCCGATGGTAGATTCGGCACCGACCACACTCTTCTCAAATTCATACAGTACAAAAGGCCCATGGGCTCCGAGTCTAGAATGAACATTCGTCCTATCCTGTATGTAGAATGTAGACTTCTGTGATTTAGGATGATCAGTGTTTTACACAAACAGCTGAGTATCTACTGAGACCTAGAGACCCTGATCCAAATCATTCCACATAGATGAGGGTCTGGTTTATATAAAAACAGAGGGGGTTGCTCACTATTTAAAACAATCCATTCCTTACTATAGGTTTGGTTGCTTTTTTTTATTATTATTAAATCTAACTCATGGTGCATTTAAAACACAATGCGGTTCACACTCAACGCGTCAAGGGTATAGCAATCATGTAAAGTGAGGCGCCCTGTAACACTGTTAGCCCTCAGCAACTCCCTGGGCTCCAAGGCCCTGGGCAGCCCAGCTGTCACTGCCACAAACAGGTGGTGTAAAACAATAGCTCCACTGAGTCGACTCACTTTCCAAACCCTCCAGGAGCCAAGCTTCCAGCCAGAGAGTGCCTGCAAGCAGCACAAGCCACCGCTCTGACCCCAGTCCACACCGGCGTCCACGGCCCATGGAGCCCTGGCCGCTCCTCCTGCTGCTTGGGCTCTGCTCAGGTAAGTGCCAGGGCTGAGGGGCTCTCCAGTGAAGCATCAGGAGTCCCCAGGCCAGTTTCTTGCTTCTTTGATGGGAACACAGAATGGCAGGGCTGTATCAGCCCGAGGCTCCTCTGTCGGTTTTTCACTCCTGCTGGCTTGATTCAGTTTGTGGATAAAGATTGCTAGTTGGTGTTATCCCATTAAAATAGGAGCTGCCGGGTCAAAGTCTATAAAGTGGACATGAAGATCTCTCCCTCCATCAGTGCCTGGCATCGACTCATGCAGCTGATCAGACCCAGCACCCCTTCCACGCTCCCAGAGCAGTTTTCATATTTGAACAACTATGGGGACTCAGAGTGGGATCTTTTAATTACAGACAATATGGTGAACAAGTCCTTTTGCTGCTCTGGGAGATTTCTGATCATGAAGAGGACTGATTGACAGCTACATGTGCCAGAGAGAGAAACCTATGAATAATTGCAACTAAACTCCTTCCATAAGAGATTAAATATTTGATCATTTTTTTTAACTTCTGAAGCTTAAAAAAAAAGTTCGTATGAATGCACTTCTGCCTACTGTTTTACTCCATGTGGGTTTGGGTTTGAATTGAAACTATAAAACCTTGCACAGCCCTTGACCTGCATTCCCCTCTGGAATGTGTCACAACACAGCAGCTGAAATGCAATCCTTAATCCCAAACTTCCGGTAGGGGGAAGTAGGAGATGTTTGCTGATTGCTTCATATAAAAGTTTGCTGGTGATATCATCCCACCTGAGAAACAAGGCGGCTGACATTCTGTGATTTCTCTTCTCTAATATTGCTCTGACACAAACAGGCCTTCTGGGCAAAAAAGGTAAAGAGCTTTATTATTAATGTTTTTCAAGGGTAGAGTTCAGGGAAATAATCTAAGCTCAGATAAATTACAGCCTGTGGGATTTGGACTTGAGCCAACCCAAACTGGCCTGGTGGTGGTAGTGTGTGTGCAAGAATGCGTGTGTGTCTACGTGTGTGTATGGATGCGTGTGTGAGCACATGCACGTGTGTGTCTACATACACATGCACCTGCAGACATTACACTCAATGAGAATTCTTCAGTGATATGCTTACACATAAAAATCCTTAAGCAATCTCTTAGGACACCAAAGACCTCTGGAAAACGCATGTTTACCTATCTAAATAGGTATGTGAGATATATCTAGATCAAACCTAGAGTTTCCTGGAATCAATTCACATAGAGGATCACAGAAATTTTGAGCTAGATGAGGCAGTCGCACAGCTTTGATTTGTTATTACAGAGAAACTGAGGCTGAAAGACATGACCTGCCCGAGGTTACTTAGTTTATAAATGGTGGAATGTGATCAGTGGGAGACTCGGTTTATTACGTGCCTCGTCAGAAAACAGCATGGAATTGCCAAAAGTAGCAAGAGAGATACAGCACCAGGTTGAGGTAAGAATGACCCAAAGTGACTGGTAAACATTTCAGAATTCCTTTTGCCCAATCCAGCAGGCTGTTCCTCCATAAAAATGCAAATCGAACCAGTATGGTACAGAAAGAACACTGTGAAACTGTGGCTGGGTTCCCCTAGTTAGAATCAGTTCTTTGTGGTCAAAATTCTCATTCACATCAAGGACACTTTTTCTTATGCTAGCTTACCATATAATGACCTCTGTTCTACTCACACACCACCTTTCATTACAACCTTTTCTTCTCTTCCATCTCTGGAATCCTAAGGATCGCACTGCCATATTACTTTCCAGCTTGTTCCTAGCTATTTATGTAAATGACAAATGTCAATTTCCATGGGGTAGAAAGACAGGGTCCATATCAGATTCACCTCTGAATATCTCAAAGCTCTTTTTTTTTTCTCAAAGCTCTTAGAGCAATGCTTTGTATACAGTAAAAGCTCAATAAATGCTCGATGAGTGAATTAACGTTACCGCCACCTGAATCAAGACTACCCATATGATCTCGCTGAAAAGAAAGACTTTGACATTATTTATTTGTTTGTACGTTTATCAGTTTACACCCTGTCTTTAAGAAAGTATTTACTGTGATTCATTAACTCCACGGAGAACTGGTCCAACTTTCCAGACCACATTGGAGCTGAGGACAGAATCAAAGAATTCTGACTTCAAGTCCTGTATGTTTTCTCTCACTCTGCCCTTTTTCCTTTTTCCTCCCCCCAAAGAGGAAGAAAACAAAAACAAAGCAAAAAAACCCCAAACACCACCAATGAATCCAATCTAAGAAATGAAGACTTCTCCAGAAATTCCTTAGAAATGCCTTAGGGAAGGAGCAAGGTCCCTTGCTATTAGTGAGCCTGAGAGAGAAGACGTGAATGTCGTTGGAATGCTGGCCAGGCCTGTCTCCCCAGTCCTCCCCTTCTCCCTGGTGGACCAGAGTTGGCCTGCACAGTTTCCCTGCTTCAGAGTGTGGGCCATCTGCTCTATCTGATGCTCTTTAGTATGTTCTTCCTGTTAACAGGAAATAAACAGTTACTTAAAAATAAGCAGCCCAGGCAGTGTCAAAGCAATAGTTTCAAACTCAGTGGCCAAGGCACTTGGTGACCCACCAGGGCAGTACCCTGCCCCCCACCCTGGGCCAGGAAGGGCCTAGGGCGGACAGGTGTGGAGGACAGAGGATTGCCCTGTCTCAGGGGCTCAATAGGGTGACAGCAAAAACTGGATCTTTGAACAACATGGCCCCTTGAAGTGTCATCAAATGCAGGTGGTTTGGGCGAGATGTTATGAGTAAGTGCTGCACGTGGATGCTTTTGGGTTCAAAAGGTTTGGGAAACTAGAAATGACGTAGGTTAGGTCAGGGATTACATACATAGAGTCCCAGAAGGTCATAATGGTGACATCTAAATACTGAAAGCCTAAAAAAATCCAGATGGAAATGATACATTTATCTTGAGGGAGGTAGGAAAGAGCATAGACCTGGGGGTCAGACTGCCTGCAGTTAGAGTCCCACCTCCAAATAGCTGGGAACCATAAACACAAGCAACTGTCCAAATATCAGTTTTCTCACTTGAAAACTAGCGGTAAAGACTTATCTTGTAGAATTATTATAAGGATTCCATAGAATAATACACATACAGGCCATCATTGAAGCTCGACCAACAAAATACACATTTCTTTGTGAGGATGAAAATGTTTCAACTCATTGCACAACACTAGTAACTTCAGGATGATCCAAAGTTCTGCATGAGAAATAGCAGCTGAGAGCAAGGGCTCTTCTGGGCCTGAATCCTGGCTCCACCATTTATGAAATCTGGACAACTCACTCAACTTCTCTATGGGCCAATTTCCTCCTCTGCAAAGTGAGGACAAGAACAGTACCTACCCCACCCAGTTATGAGGATTGAAAATAGTACATATAAAGCACACAGAAGAGCATCTGCTACGTTAAGTTGGATATGCAAATTATTTTCCTTAATTAATAAAAACAGGAAAAGTAATTACTTTTTACTTATTTTGTTGACCAACTCTCACACTTAGGATTCAAGGAGAAAAATAATAACCTGTCTTAGAGGCAACAGACTCACACTACAGGGGAAAAAAGGAAAGCATCTCACTCATTCCATTTTTAAAGTTGTCTTGGCTGGAGGAGAAGGTATGGTGGCTTCAGCAATAACCTGCGGAAAGGGGAGATCTGGTTACATGCATTAGGGCAACTGGATCGTGTGTCTGCTTCCTCTCCTAACCCCGAACAGGCAATCTCCAATCCGCGTAAGGCTTGAGTTACAAAGATCCTTCATAAGGCATTTGTTGGAATTTGGAACGCTTTTTCTCATGGGAATAATGCTAGGCGCAGTTGTGCAGTTTCCAGGACAGCCCACAACACACTCTTGGTATCTCGAGTTAGTGCAGGAGCACAGAGCGAAAGGACAGGGCTCCCTCCAAGCTCTGCCCTAGCCACGGGACCTTGGAGACGTCTTCCAGCCTCTCAGATCTCAGGTGAGAATGCAGGTGTGCCTGCCTCACCAGAGGCTGATGAGAACCATGTAACACTAGACATAAAAGGGCAGTGGGGTCTGAGAGGAGTAGGTGACATTGCTCACCATCCTGAAGGGAAATGCAGTAAAGATTCCTAGGAGTCACTTCATGCTCCAGATAGTAGCCCCAGATCCAGGTCAGAAAAGCACATGGTTTTTACTCTATGCTCACTTAACATGAATGCATACTCACCAGCAGTGACTTTATTTTTTTAATTACAGAAAAATACACAGTATATCGAATTCACTGCGGTAAAATATACGTTATGTAAAATCACCATTTTTAAAAAGCTTTATTTATTCACAAGAGGCACACAGAGAGAGAGGCAGAGACATAGACAGAGGGAGAAGCAGGTTCCATTTAGGGAGCCTAATATGGGACTCGATCCAAGGACCCTGGGATCATGCCTTGAGCCGAAGGCAGACACTCAACCGCTGAGCCACCCAGGCGTCCCTAAAATTGCCATTTTAAAGTGTATGATTCAGTGGCATTAAGTACATTCACAATGTTATGCGACCATCACTGCTATCTAATTCCAGAACATTTTCATCAGCCTAAAAGGAAACCCTGTACCCATGTACCCAGTAACAGTTACCCCCCTCCCTGTTCCCTCAGTCCCTGCTAACGACTAATCTGCTATCTCTATGGATTTACCTATTCTGACTCTTTCATATAAGTGCAACCCTACAATATGTGCCCCATTGTGTTTGATTTCTCTCACTTGGCATATGTTCTCAGGGCTCATCCACACTGTAGCATAAATCAAAACTTCATTCATTTTTATGGGTAATACCCACTGCACGGATATGCCACAATTTGCCCATCCATTATCTGCTGATAGACATTCGGATGGTCTCGATCTTTTTTAGCTCTTACGGATAGTGCTTCCGTGAACACGGGTGAACAAGTTTCCGTGTGGACAGTCCTTTGGGGGATATTCCTGGGAGTGGGATCGCTAGGTCAGATGGTCACTCCGCCTGGAAGCCGTGTGCCAACCTGTCTCCCACAGCGGCTGCACCGTTTCACATTCTCACCAGCAACACACGAGGGCCCCAGAATCTCACCAATATTTACTGTTTTTTGATTTTGTGGATTCTTGCCATCCTCGTGGGTATGAACCGGCATCAATTTTTGGCTGTTCAGAGCATTGTGAGAGCTGAGGCCAGCCAACCGGAGATTTCATTACCCCAAGACTAGACTCTGAAATACAGAGACTGGCTTTTGTGTGGACTCCTCTCATGTGTGTGCACCGAGCAAACCTGATTCCACCAGCGGCTGTATTAAGGAATGTCATCTGTTCAAAGCACAAGTGTCATGGTAATCTGGCACACCCACTGCGAAGGGACCACACCAGCAGCTGCGACTGGAAAGGAACTTAGAACCAGAAAAGCTGCACTGGGAGCCCTTCAACACGGGGGCCTGCGTGCCTTCCATTAGCTGGTCACGCCTCCATTACTCATGTCAGGGTTTGTGGAGGGTGGGGAGCGGAATCTGACAGCATGTGTGTCGTTTGCTGTCCCAGCTGGCGTCGTCGTGGGCTCTGAACATGAGACCCGCCTGGTGGCAAAGCTATTTGAAGATTACAACAGTGTGGTTCGGCCAGTGGAAGACCACCGCCAGGCTGTGGAGGTCACCGTGGGCCTGCAGCTGATACAGCTCATCAACGTGGTGAGACAGCAGCCCTCGGGGCTCCCCACGCCTCTCACCCTAGAGCACCCTCCCCTCTGCTCCCCTCCTTACCCCTAAAGATGGGGTCTTATCTTTTTTCAGGATGAAGTCAATCAGATTGTGACAACCAATGTACGGCTGAAACAGGTATACAGCTAGATAAGTGCGTTGATGTCATCTGTATTCAGTCTGGAATGTAACCTGGGCCCAGAGGGGATCAATCTGGGTAACGGGGATGCATACCAACATGATGGAAGTAAATATTTCCGTGTCATGGGATTATGGGTCATATTTGCTGGTATCTGTGTGTGTGTGTGTGTGTTTTTTTTTTTTACTTTGTGCTTTGTGCACGTTAGTTCGCTAGGCTACCGCAAACAAAGCCACAGATAAAGAAATTTATCTTCTTGTACTTCTTGGGGCCAGAAGTCCAGAATCAAGGTACTGGCAGGACTGGTTCCTTCTGAGGGTTGTGAGGGGGAATCTGCTGCAGGCTTTCCTTCTTTGCATATAGTTGGCCAAAGTCACGTTCGCATGGCATTCTTCCTGAATGTGTGTGTCTTCAAATGTCACCTCCTTTAGGGACATGACTCATGTTGGATGAGGGCCTACCTCAATGACCTAATGTTTTTTTAAAGATTTTACTTATTTATTCATGAGAGACAGAGAGAGAGAGAGAGGCAGAGACACAGGCAGAGGGAGAAGCAGGCCCCATGCAGGGAGCCCGATGTGGGACTTGATCCCGGGACTCCAGGATCATGCCCTGGGCCAAAGGCAGACTCTCAACCACTGAGCCACCCAGGTGTCCCTCAATGACCTAATTTTAATCTAATTACCTTGATCAAGACCCTGTCTCCAAGTAAAGTTATATTCTGAGGTCCTGGGGATTAAGACTTTAACATACAAATTTGGGGGGAGACGGTTTAGTTCGTGACCTTGTGTCATCTGAATGTGCTGCACTGGACACACATTATTTTTATAATGTAGGAGAAAATAGAATTTTTTAAAAAGACTTTTTATTCATTTATGACAAACACACAGAGAGAGGCAGAGACACAGGCAGAGGGAGAAGCAGGCTCCATGCAGGGAGTCCGACGTGGGACTCGATCCCGGGTCTCTAGGATCACGCCCTGGGCTGAAGGCGGCGCTAAACCGCTGAGCCACCAGGGCTGCCAGAAAATAGAATATTTTTAAAAGATGACGTTGCCTCCTTGAGGGAAATCTTCACAATAGGGTCATTCTCCTATGGGCAGTGGTGGGTAGTGTGACATGGCAAGATGTGCCACCACCCAGGGGCATAACCTGGGGTACTTTGTTTCCCCATCTGTAAAATGGGGTCAATAATCACTCTTCCCTCATAGGATTGTTGCGAAGACTAAATCATGAATATATGTAAAATGTTCAGAACAGTGCCTGCACGGAGTCAGTACTATAGGAGTGTTGGCTGTTATCATTTATTAAAGTAAAGCTTTAGTTAAGCTGAATTCTGAATCAAATCTTTTTTACTGGAGCACAATTTTTGTCAATATCTGAACTATCATACCCATCAGAACTCTTGATAACCTTAGATTTTATTTATTTCTGAAAGTTTTATGTATCTTAGAGAGAGAGTGAGAGTGAGTGAGCAAGTGAGAGCAGGGAGGAGGGGCAGAGCAAGAGGGAGAAAGAGTCTCAAGCAGACTCTGCGCCAACCCAGGGCTACATCCCATCATGATGTGAACCAAAATCAAAAGTCAGACACCCAACTGACTGAGCCACCCAGGTGCCCCTTGATAACCTTAGATTTTTTTTAAAAATGTTTTTTAAGCTTTTTATTCGTGAAATATCTTCATTTCTAGCAATGGGTGGATTACAACCTAAAATGGAATCCAGAGGACTATGGTGGCGTGAAAAAAATTCACATTCCCTCGGAAAAGATCTGGCGCCCAGACCTCGTTCTCTATAACAAGTAAGCAAAGCAGACAGGCTGCGGAGAGGGACATTCCTGGGGCAGGTGGAGCCCAAGTGCCCTATCGGAAGGGCTGCCACTCTCAGTATGCTTCTCACCAGCGTTCACATTAAATAACCCTTAAAAACCAAGAGCCAAGTTGACATGCTAGGGGTGCCATATGGTGTCTCGTGTTATGAATAGAAACAATTATCAGAGCCAAATTGAATCGGGGCTGTGGGGTGGGGGGCCTGGAGTCCGTGAGCTCCTGAAGGGTGTATGGCAACTATCCAAGGAACCCAAATTCATATAATTGAGTTCCTTGGAATTAAATGTCCTTCCTACCAATCGGTCTGAACCTCCCGGGGTTGTTATCCATCACAGCCTCACGGCATCCCAAGACATCGTGTGCTGCTGATGGCCTGGGATGCCTGCGTAGCCCATCCACTGGGCTCCGTGACAGACTGCATGTTGTGAAATTATAATGTGATTCAAGACACTCTGGTTTAATGACAGGTTCATTATCATACGCCCTTCATTTGTCAGGGAATGTTCATTTCAAAGAGCATCCTTCCCAGGGAGGAGCATCGGCCGTCAGCCTAGAGGATTTGCAGTCTGACATTCTACAGCGGGTGTCGGTCGGTCCAAGCAGGCTGCGCCTTCTAGCAGAATGACCAGGGAGGGCGGCAAGGGCTTGGGAATGGAAATGACACCCTTTAAGACCGCCCCTCCTACACTGATTTTCTACTACATATTTCCCAATTATACCTGCGATTCAAGCTTGAGTCAAATTATCCAATCATTTGTGTAACCTTTTTGGACAAATGCGCTGAGAGAGCAGAGTGTCTTGTGTTAAGTTTCTCTTTCAGTAAGAATCAAAGAGAAGCAATTAAAATCCTCAGGTCCTCTTGACAAGCTCCCTTAGAAACACCCTGGTGTGGAGAGAACCGTGTTTTGCTTGCTTATAGAGACAGATCTAGATGATCCTGTGGCCCTCTGCTCTTTGGGGCTCTTTTGAGAGGGTTCAAAACCAGTTTTTTGGATAGAGCCTCACCTCTGTCCCAGGGAAAAATCAGTGGGAAGAAAATCTCTTGAATTATGAAGTGAGGCACCGATATATGCCATATGTCCCTGAAAGTCCCCCAGGGCAGACCCCACCCACCTGTTCAGCATCTATTCTAATACCTTTGGCCAAGGCTCCAAGACACAGGCTGTTTGGAGTCAAGTGGAATATGCCCACCGAATATGGCCTGCACAAGTGGCTTGTTATTTTTTATTATCTACCACGGTAGATTATTTATTTATTTTTAAATTAGAAAAAGATTTTATTTATTTGAGAGCGAGAGAGGGAGAGCGCAAAAGCAGGGCAGGCGGTGGTCAGAAGGAGAGGGAGAAGCAGGCTCCTTGCTGAGTGGGGAGCCCAAACACATGGGGCTCGATCCCAGGATCCTAGGGTCATGACCTGAGCCAAAGGCAGTGCTTAACTGACTGAGCCACCCAGGTGCCCTTCTACTATGGTGGATTTTTTTAAAATTTTTTTTATTTATTTATGATAGTCACAGAGAAAGAGAGAGAGAGAGAGAGGCAGAGACATAGGCAGAGGGAGAAGCAGGCTCCATGCACCAGGAGCCCGACGTGGGATTTGATCCCGGGTCTCCAGGATCGCGCCCTGGGCCAAAGGCAGGCGCTAAACCGCTGCACCACCCAGGGATCCCTATGGTGGATTTTTAAAATGAAACTTAGTGCCAACATCTGATAATTGAAAAATATCACATTAAACTCTGGAGTTTTGTCTCTCTAGAAAAATCCCTATTCACAAACATGGATATTTTGGATTTTTAAAAAATCTAGATTTCCAGCTTCCGAGGAAGAAACCAAGTATCTGGCAGTATTAGGCCTTCACTCACAAGAGGACACCACCGCAAAGCTGAGTGGTGCTCTCCTGAGAGGAGAGAAGGCTCTCCCCTCACCCCTCAAACCTTCCTCAGCTGCCTGGCCCTGGAGGCATCTGAGTTTGTGTCTCCACCCTGAGTTCTAGATATTTCTGAAAAAGAAAACAGAACCCTTCTTTAACTCTGTTTACCATAGTCATGAGCCACTGGACGTGTTTTTATTCAAAATTCCTGTTTTTTTTTCCCAATTAACTTTCCAAGTATATTGAGGAAGGGATAGATGGAGATCAACACTACAAATACTACTGAGAACTGGGAAAAACACATCTGGTATATAGTGTTACCTGTTATTTCTTTAAAACTGTAGATTCCCAGGTTCTTCCCCAGATATTCCAATTTAGTGCTTAGATGGTGCTCAGAAATCTATACTTTAAACAAACACCCCAGTGATTATCAGACAAATTTGGGAAATGCTGCCATGAATAAAAAGTGACACTGCACGAATGAAAGCATCTATAATTAGCACCTGAATAATTAACAGCTGTCTCCTGCTAACATCCCCAAGCAGAACCGAGGGCTCATCCGTCACTTAGAGTCATGTTCCTCTTTGATCCCAACTGCAGTGCAGATGGTGACTTTGCCATTGTCAAGTTCACCAAAGTGCTCCTGGACTACACGGGCCACATCACATGGACACCTCCGGCCATCTTCAAAAGCTACTGTGAGATCATTGTCACCCACTTTCCCTTTGATGAACAGAACTGCAGCATGAAGCTGGGCACCTGGACCTATGACGGCTCGGTGGTGGCCATTAACCCGGTAGGTGCCAACCTCACTTGATGAGGCTGGATGTGGGAGAAGCGTAATCCAGGTGTCCAACTCTGTCCCTCCAGAGTCGCAGGCTCTCAGCACCAGTTAGAACTTTGGGGATCATCTAATTCAGCGGTTCTCTCTCTCTCTTTTTTTTTAATTCAGCGGTTCTCAATTGATGGGTGCACATGGGAACACCCGGGAGCTTACAGAAATTCCTATGCCCCGGCTTGGTCCCAGGAATTTTGGCTTCATCAGTCTGGGGTGGGACTAAAGCACGGAGATATTGTCAAGCTCCCGCGTGACTTGAATGCGCAGTCAATGTGGAGGATCCCAGTAGTCCAAACTCCTCTTATCTTACAGGAAAAGACTCTAAGACCCAAAATTGGAAGAGATCCTCCTGGGTTCCTTCCTGGGTATGTGACGGCACTGGACTCTGTTGTCTAGTGCAGCTGAGAGTGAAACCCAGCCCTCCTCAGGGTGACACAGCTTTTCAAAGTTTCATTTCATCTTCTCAGGAAAGCGACCAGCCCGACCTGAGCAACTTCATGGAAAGTGGAGAGTGGGTGATCAAGGAGTCCCGGGGCTGGAAGCACTGGGTGTTTTATGCCTGCTGCCCCTCCACCCCCTACCTGGACATCACCTACCACTTCGTCATGCAGCGCCTGCCTCTCTACTTCATCGTCAACGTCATCATTCCCTGCCTGCTCTTCTCCTTCTTAACCGGCCTGGTGTTCTACCTCCCTACGGACTCAGGTGGGTGTAGATGCTGTGGCCGCTATTTGTGGATCCCGCTGGGGTGTAGACTCTGCTGCCACCGCTGACACATCCCATGCTGCTGCTTTGGGGGAAGCCAGAAATAATCATGGGCTAATAAACAAATACAGGCGGACAGGCCCAAATCATCACCACTGGGAGGACGCACTTCCTGAGTGGCCACGTTCAGTGGTGAGTCACCGTGGGTAGCGCTCGCAGCTGGAGCAGTCTACGGGGCGGGCACAGGTGGACGTGACCCTGGAGGCGCACACACACAGCGCAGTCAAGTTAAAGTGCATAACCACCAGTACTTACTTGCTGAATACTTACGGTGTGCCCAGAAACGTGCCGGGTAAGGCTTGGGTCACAGGTCACTCCCCCTATGAGACCACTTGCTATATGCTGATGCATCCAAGTCTTGCCTCTTTTGCCCACTGCTTGACACTTGAAAATAGCTTCTGCGTGTCTGTTTTCCAGATGGCAGTATCTTTAACCAAGAGACCATACTTCCCAAGTGGCAATTCTCTCTCACATATCAGCCTGGGCAACTTCCCTACCTCCTACCGGGTAATCACATCTGTGACATAATTTCATCGCAGACCAACAATCCACAGCAAAGGGGAAAAGAGGGCACGAGTGCCTGCTTGAAGGCACTGCTCATAAACAATTTAGGGCAGACAAGTAGGGACAAAGAAAGGTGGTCCCAACAGTCATCAAACTTATGTCAGGTAACAATTATATCAAAATGATAAACACACAGACACAAGCCCAACTTTTTTTTTTAAAAGATTTTATTTATTTATTCATGAGATATACAGAGAGAAAGAGGCAGAGACACAGGCAGAGGGAGAAGCAGGCTCCATGCAGGGAGCCCAAAGCGAGACTCGATCCCGGGACTCCAGGATCAAGCCCTGGGCTGAAGGCAGGCGTTCAACTGCTGAGCCACCCAGGTGTCCCCCAAGTCCAACTTTCTAACAAGGAAAAAGGAAAAAATATTCATATACGCTCACTCATTCAACATATTTGCTGAACAATTATTATGTGGCAGGGCCACAGTAGAGAATAAGAGAGAATTTGCCCCGCAAGGGGTGCCGCCTGGTTCCATTAGTAAAACATGCAATTCTCGATCTCAGGGTTGTGAGTTCAAGCCCCATATTGGGTATAGAGATTACTTAAATAAATAAATACAATCTTAAAAAAAAAGAATTTGCCTCACAGAATGCATGTTGTACTTCAATTGTATTTATCTTTAAACAAATGATCACAAACACAATCTGTGTTTTTGACTCTCTAATCAAATGAAACTTCTTAAAGTGAAGAGAGAAAATGCCAGGCAGGGTAATATGGAAACCAATCAGAGTTTCTGTAAATGTGAAATGGTTTAGGCTTAAAAAGCATTTAGAACAGTGGGAATGCTTGATAAATGCTAGCTCTTATTATTATTAATTGAGAAATTTGGTATAACTTGATCAATATTTCATATTTATAATTCTGCCCTTTTTTTTCACTTTTAAAAACCTTCCTACCCATTAGGTAGACTTCTCCTCACTGGGTAGAATGGATTATTTCTTGTTTGCATCCACTCTGTATCCTGTAGATACTCCTAGCATCTGGAAGCATCCAGTATGGGAGGAGAATAGGGCAACCCAAGGGTTTCCCAAAGTGAACGGCAAGATCAGCCCCAGGAAAGTCCCTTCCAAAGGCTCTTTAATGGGGCACCTGGGTGGCTCAGTGGTTGAGTGTCTGCCTTTGGCTCGGGTCATGATCCCGGAGTCCTGGGATCGAGTCCCACATCGGACTCCCTGCAGGGAGCCTTCTCCCTCTGCCTGTGTGTCTGCCTCTCTGTGTCTCTCATGAATAAATAAATAAAATCTTTAACAACAACAACAACAACAACTGCATCTAAGGTGGTCAGTCCCCACAAAAATACCCCAGTGCCATTTAGCCCCTCCCTCTTTGCTTGCCACACCAAGACTCTACCAACAACTCAACAGGGACTTGTTCCCCTGAAAGTATACGGCCTGGTGAAAATATCTTGGGGCAGGGAAATCCCAAATTACCCTCTTAGATGAATTTGAAAAACTAAGTAGTTCATGGGTTTTGATCCTGTACCTTCCTTTCCTAACGACAAAATGACACGCTTACTTCTGGGTCGCCCATCCACTGGTGGGTACCAAGTAGGTCAGGTTCAGTTTTGGAAGGTTTAGGACATTCTGCTGTAGATGGAAAAACTGCCACCTGGAGCCTAGCTTGTCACTCAGCTTGGTGCACTTGGTTCCTGAGTTCTTCCAAGCAACAGAATTCTGGAATATCAAGGGTAGATCACTAACTGCTGAGCAGCCTCTAATGAGAAACGCCTGCCACTTGCCATTGTCAGCACACTTAACGGTCCTTACGGTCTCATAGGACCACATTCTGCTTAAGAGATTTCCCCAGCATCATGTGGGCCACATTGCTCTCACCCTTGGGTTCTGTGGTACATGAGTTTGCTAGAGCTGCCATAACACAGTACCCCGGCTGGCCGGCTTAGGCAACAGGAATCTATTTCCACACAGTTCTGGAAGTCAAGATGTCAGCAGGTTTGGCTTCCTCTGAGGCTTCTCTCCTTGGCTTGCAGATGGCTGCCTTCTCCCTGTGTCTTCACCTGGTCTTTCCTCCGGGTGTGTCTGTGTCCTAATCTCTTCTTCCTAGAAGGACACCAGTCTTACTGGATGAGGGCCCTCCCTAACGGCTCATTTTGACTTAATAACCTCTTTAAAGGCCTCGTCTCCAAATGTAGTCACTGAGGTGCTGAGACTGAGGGCTTCCACAGACAAAACTGAAGGGTACGACGATTCCGCCCATGAGTCAGCCCATAACAAACGCACGCTTGTATCTCTTCCTCATTTTGTCCAGGGGAGAAGATGACTCTAAGCATCTCTGTCCTGCTGTCTCTAACCGTGTTCCTCCTGGTCATCGTGGAGCTGATCCCTTCCACCTCCAGCGCTGTGCCCTTGATTGGGAAGTACATGCTGTTCACCATGGTGTTTGTCATCGCGTCCATCATCATCACCGTCATCGTCATCAACACACACCACCGCTCCCCCAGCACCCACGTCATGCCCGACTGGGTACGCAAGGTGAGTGAGCGAGGCCCTGCAAAGTCTCGCCCTCCAGAACGCGGCCGGTGGAATTCTGGCTAACACTCGTGGGTACTTAGGACCTGAGAGTCCTTTCTGGGGATTTTTAGGGGATTTCTGGAAGGAACTTCCTTTAGCCTCTTTCTAGGGATAAATAACTCATGTAATCTCTCCAGACACAGAAGAAAAACAGAATTACCAGCCCCCTTCAAATTCAAGCTTAAATAATCTCTTCGATGAGAGAACGTGAATAAATCACTTTTTCTTCAGATGCTGTGGAATTCTTGAGATTTCTGTTCGTATGTCTTCCAATCTCTGAACAGACTGCTTATATTTTGCGGGGAAAATCATCTGCCGAGAATAGAATAAGGGCTAGAGATGGAGGGAGTGCCTGACAAGAAATTGTCAAAAAGTGAGTTTGAGTAAGGGACTTGGTCTCAAATATTTACATTATTGAAATTTAAAATGTGTTAACATTTCAAATATGTCAGTTTTTTAAATAAAACTTCACAGAGTCGCTAACGTCCTCGGTCTTTTCTGTGGAATGCAAAAGCTTTGTCATGAATTGACAGAGACACTGCTGCTTGCCACGTATCCTGTGGGGAAGATAATCAGGCCCTGCATCTATAAAGACTCCTAGGACCCCTGGCAACCCCTATGTTGCATTTCTTCAGGAACAGGAAAAAGAAGAAAACAGTGTAGCTGTTAAGGAGGCCGAACCCTTATATATTCTTTTAGCCAGGAAGACCTTTTCTTTAATCATACTGTCCTGCTAACACATGGCTTTGAAAGAAGCCGGTACCTACAGGAGGGCTGGAAGCTCCAGCCTCACTGGCTTCTCATGGAGTCCAATAGCTGCACACAGGCTCTCTCCAGTGGCGAACTGCTCACATTACAGAATCATCTCTATTAACTATAGTCATTTGACAGGCCACAGGGTATGCCTGAAGGAATCTTTGAGAAAATCTCGTGTAGTCCTTTTATTTTAAAGACAAAGAGGCTAAGGCCCAGAGAAGCCGAATGACTTGTCCACAGTCACATTGTTAAATTCAAAGTTAGAGTCTGATACTTGCTTGCCCTGCTGGCAATAATTCTCATGCATGGATTTCTTTTTTATGTTAGGTTTTTATCGACACAATCCCAAATATCATGTTCTTCTCCACAATGAAAAGACCATCCAGAGAAAAACAAGACAAAAAGATTTTTACGGAAGACATTGACATTTCTGACATTTCTGGGAAGCCAGGGCCTCCACCCATGGGTTTCCACTCTCCCCTGATCAAACACCCCGAGGTAAAAAGTGCCATTGAAGGAGTCAAATACATCGCAGAGACGATGAAGTCAGACCAGGAGTCCAATAATGTAAGTTCTATGGTTTGAAACCCACACCTCCAGGTTTGGATGATCAAACACTTGACCACGGATGGGCGGGTTTGTCTTGATGGGTAGGCTGGCATGCAAGAGGCTGCTGCTGACCTGTGGTGTGCATCAGTGACCATCTAGCTCTAAGCCGCTGAGCCATCCCATTGTGAACCATCTTTTGGAAAATAAAGATCACAATGCCAGCCAAGGGACGTCAAGGGCTTTGAGATCTACAGTTGAATGGGCCATAGACGATGCATAACATGAACACTGTGTGTCAAATGACCACCTTTAGGAAATTCTAACACTTTTCTCTCTCCCAGGCGGCTGAGGAATGGAAGTACGTTGCAATGGTGATGGACCACATCCTCCTTGGAGTCTTCATGCTCGTCTGTATCATTGGAACCCTGGCTGTGTTTGCAGGTCGGCTCATTGAATTAAATCAGCAAGGATGAGCAGAGCTGAGCACCGCACAGAGCAGAGAAAGGCGGGGAAGACAGGAAGATCTGTCTACTTTGATACAAGCTCACTTACCAGACATATAATTTTCTGTATTTAACGATTAATGCCAATGACTTATATTTACGTAAGTTTATGGCCTCAAGTATTTGCACGTTGCTTCTCCTTCAATCCTGCTCTGTCTGCCTGGAGAATGAGCCCGTTTTAGTAAATGAAATAGATCACTAACAGGAACTATTCATTTCCAAAGGCATCTGGAAGAGTTTTGCCCAGAATAACCAGAATAACAGGTTTTCTATTGGTATGCTTTTTTTTTAAGTTTTTAAAGCAAAGAATGTACCCTTTGCTTAAAAGTCAGTTTTGCACCTATAAGTAAGCCCATCTGCCAGTTCCCAAAAGATAAAGCATTTCATTCAGAGAGAAACTTTAGAAAGGCAAGAGGTAAGTTCTAGAACAGCCACCAAGATGCAAACTGCATCAAAACCCCAAACTTTAAAGCAGATTTCTAGAACTGGGAGGTGAGGGAAGGGCTTCCCAGTCTAACACAGCACCTCAGTGTGATGCTCAGGACTTGAGGAATATAGCCAGCTAGTTTCCTGAGCTATACTGAGTCTGAGGGCCAGGCACTGTGAGAATCATCTCACAAATGTGGTTTTATTCCATCCTCCTGACTTTTCATGCTGTCCCCATTTTACAAGTGAGGCAACTGCACTTGAGAAGCTGAAGCTCATTGCCCAAGCTAGCAAGTGGAAGAACGGAGAGTTGAAACCAGACCAAATGTGGATTCAAAGCAGCTCACGGCTGGGTCAGCTCATCTGTTCACTAGCTCCTGTGGCCCCTTCCCACCTGACCTAGGCCATCCTGTAGCTCTGCTCTGGGTTCTGAGAGCTTCAGTCTTAGTGTCAACCACCTTTCTGCCTTCCCAGTTAAACCTCCTGGCCTTTCCCCTCCCCAGTCCTCAGGCAGTCATGTTTGGGGTTTTAGTTCTATCAGTGAAATCAGAAATGTATGCACATATCACCACCATTTCTAAAATTCCAGACAAGTGAACAGGAGAGAAAATGATTTTTCTTCATAGCCACTTCCCAGCCACAACATAGTTCACTCCAGAAGTGGAAAGGGGGTAGCCCTGGGCTCTAGGTGGCCTCTCAGAACCCAGGTGGCTTCAAGCTGCTTCTCCAAGGAATTCTCAAGCACACACCCATGGCAGGGCACAGTGCCTTCGTTTTAGAGTAAAGTCAAGGGAAAACAGTTTGGTGGTTCCTCAAAACACTCAAAGAATTGTCATACGATCCAGTAACTCTACTCCTAGGGAGATAACCCACCAGAAGTGAAAGCAGGGACTTGAACACACCCTTGTATGCCAATGTTCACAGCAGCATTATTTATGATACCGAAAGGTTCCAGAAACAACCCGAGTGTCCATCAGTGGAAAAGCAGTATATGCATACTATGGAGTATAATTCAGCCTTAAAGAGGAATGGAATCCTGATGTATATTACAATTTGGATCGACCTTGAAGACATGCTTGATGAAATAAGCCAGACGCAAAAGGACAAATCCCATGACCCCACTTAAATGGGGTACCTAGAAAAAGCAAATCCATAGAGAGAGAAAGTAGAATAGAGATTGCCAGGGTTTTAGGGGGAGGGGTGAGTTATTGATCAATGGGTAGAATTTCAGGTTGGGATGATGGGAAAGTTCTGGAACAGACAGTGGCAATGGTTGCACGCCATTGTGAATATACTTAATGCCACTGAATCGTACACTTAAAAATGGTTAAGATGGTAAATTTTAAGCATATTTTGACACAATTAAAAATAAAGAATGAAAATAATGGTAAAAACCTGTCACATTATATATATGTTTACCACAGTTAGACGCCAAAAAAGATGGGATGCCTGGGTGGCTCAGTGGTTGAGTGTCTGCTGTTGGCTCAGGTCATGATTCTGGGATCCTAGGATCGAGTTCCCCATGGGGCTCCCCACGTGGAGCCTGCTTCTCCCTCTGCCTATGTTTCTGCCTCTCTCTCTCTCTCTCTCTCTCGTGAATAAATAAAATCTTTAAAAAAGAAAAAAAAAGACAGATGACCAAAAAAGAATTTGCTCTTTGCCTAATCTGGTCTAGGACTGACTATTGATTTGGAGAAGGAACTGAAAAGTCACTTCCATTCTCCTTGTCTTAAGGATGAGGAAACAAAGTCTTAGGGAAGTGACCTCCCTCAGGTCACAGAGTGATTTGATAACAAACCAGATCTCCAAACTCTGTTCTTGCCCTATGTCCGTTACATCAAATAACCCCTCTTCCCCCACAAAGCAAAGCCCCCCCAGCACATACCCCTTGGCCCAGCAGAGCCAGCCTAAGTGGATGCCACAGTGCTGCAGCATGTAGCTCCATCAGCCACTAAATATGTCCCATCAGTCTGTCACCATGTCAAAGGCTTTTATCTGGGGCACCAGGGTGGCTCAGTGGTTGGATGTCTGCCTTCGGCCCAGGGCGTGATCCTGGAGACCCGGGATCGAGTCCCGCATCGGGCTCCTGGCATGGAGCCTGCTTCTCCCTCTGCCTGTGTCTCTGCCTCTCTCTTTTTCTCATGAATAAATAAGTACATAAACTTTTTTAAAAAGGTTTTCATCTTTGGAATCTCTTCCCTTAGTGTGGGCTTGGTCTCCAGAAGACCACTGACACAACGGGAAGGGAGGCAGGGGGTGCTGGGATCTGTCTCCCCACTGAGGGGCGAGAGGCGTTTGCTAAGGGCCTGGCCCCCCTGTACCCACCCGTGCAGCTCTGTCGATGAGGGTGTCTGCATAGCAGGAGGCCTTCTTGGGAAGTAAGGAGCATCCTGGAACCGTGACGCAGGCAGGTAAGTGCTGATGGGGGTGCATTTACAGACTGAGGGTGGACGCAGAACTATCCTCAGCTCTGATCTCTAGGTCTTCTCTTTTTCTGCCCCTAGGTGTCAGAACTGGGAGGTTGTTTTTGTGTTGTTGTTGTTGTTGTTGTTGTTGTTGTTTAAATCAGAAATTATGTTAACATTTAAGCAAATCAGATGGGGTCATCAGGGAGCGATTTTGAGGCTGGGTGGCAGTTGGCAGTGTTGGCTCTGGCCACTAGGGACCACATGGCCATTGTATTCCTACTGGGGGTAGTGGTGCCAGGCAGAGGGGCTCAGGCATCCTCGCCCGCTGCCCCCCTAAACCTACCCCACCCTAGGAACCGGGTCTTGTCTTCAAGCCTCAGTTTCTTCCCCTGGCTCTCAAACCACCATGTTCGAGGTCATTTCTCCCACAGCTGCTACTTGAGTTCTAGGCCCACACCTGTTCTTGGGCCGCCGCAGCCACCTGAGGTCTCTCCCTCCACCTCTACCCAAATTCCTCCAGTCCCACCACTCAGGGCTGTCCCTTGCCCAAGGGAGAATCTCTGCTGCCCGGGTTTTCCAACTAAACCTCCTTGCTGCTGGCCAAGGGCTTCCCCCACCACCACCCACCTTCTGATCACTGCTGCTGGAGGTTATGCTCCTATTCCTACAGCCTGAGCTCTCTGACTCTTGCCCCCAAAGTCGCCCCATGCTGCCACCTACCGTCGCCTGCGTATACCAGTCACCACAGCCATGGTCTCTCCTGCACCTGTGCCATTGCCTTAATTTCTTCCCACCACCCCTGCTGGGTCTGTCCTCACTGCAGCCCATGTTCTCCCTCTGTGGCAGCCCAAGGTCGGCCTCAATGCTCCCCTTCATAGCTCTTCCCCCTTTCCTGCCTGCTGATTTACCCCAGCCTCCCAGCTGGGTGGCTTGGTCTTTCCCCGACTCCTCATCCTGTCACTGTCACCACTGTACTGCAAGAGCCAGGCAGGGATGGGTTGGGGCCCAAGCATGGTGCCACCTGCTGGGGTGCGGCCACAGATGGGGGAGGGTAGCAGGCTCTGAGCCTGCCCTCGGGAGGATCTCCAGCAGCTCAGCCGTGTGGGGCTCCTGGAGTAACCAGACTGTGCCTGCCTCTTCGAGGATGGTGGCCACATGGCCTGGGCAGTGGTCCTTGTCATTTTCAGCCTGCAGCTTCCGGTCCTCCTCACTTTCCTCTAACTTCTCCAAGCTGGTTCTTGGGTCGCTGCTAAGGATGTGCTTGGGCCCTGAGTAGGGAGGGGTCGGGTGGGGACTGGAGCCATGCAGGCAGCAGGCCAGGAGCGCACCGGGTGGCCCATGCTCTGCTGTGGAACCCAGTGTATGCCACACAGAGCTTCTGCACCATGGAGGCCTCTGCAGGCTGGCTGCTAGGTGCGGTGTCTGGCCCAGCTCGTCCTGCAGGCCCAGGTACTCAGTGCCAGCTGCAGAGCCTAGCAAGAGACCCAGGAAGGGTCCATGCTAATGAATCACCTTCAATTGTAGTACTGGGGCCCCATCTTCAGTGCTGTAGCCAAAGACAAAGGGTGTCCACAGCAGCCCTGGCCCACCTCTGCCTAGCGCTGGTCCTCCCAGGGTCACTGAGTCTGGACCCCATGAGCCCAGGTCACTGTCACACCATTCATGTGCATCCACAGCCTCCCCAAGCCAGTGTCCTGGCTGTGACCCCCAAACCATAGCCCCTAAGTCTTCTTTTGTTCCGGTGGTTTCTGTGAGGAGAGGGTGCCACAAGCTGGGTGGCTTAAAACAGAAATTTATTCTCTCCCAGCTCTGAGGACTGCTATGGACTGAACGGCAAACTCCCCAAATTTGTACACTGAAGCCCTAACCCTCGGTGTGATGGTATTTGAAGATGGGGCGTTTGGGAATTTAGGCTTAGATGAGGATGACAGAGTAGGATCCCCACAACAGGATCAGTGCTGTCGAAGGAGAAACACTTGTTCTCTTTCCCACTCGCTGCCATATGAAGACACGGCGCACAGGCGGCCACCTGGAAGCCAGGAGAGGGACCTCACCAATGCCCAGCCACGCTGGCATCCTGACCTCAGATTCCCAGCCTCCAAGACTGTGGGAAAATAAATTTGTCGGTTAAGCCACCCACTCTGGTATCTGGTTATGGCAGCATGGCTAAGACAAGGCCTGCAGTCCAAAATTGTGGTGTGAACAGGCTGATTCCTTCTGGGGGTTCCGGGGAGAATTAGTTCCATGCCTCACTTGTAGCTTCCGGTGGCTGCTGGCAGCCCTTGGGATCCCTTGGCTCATGGCAGAACTCCACCCTCTACCTCCATCTTCACGTGCCGTCTTCTCTGTATCTTCTCCTTTTCTTTTTTTTTTTTAAGATTTATTTATTTATTTATTTATTTATTTATTTATTTATTTATTTATTAGAGAGAGAGAGAGAGAGAGAGAGAGAGGGGCAGAACACAGGAGGAGGGAGAAGTAGGCTCCATACTGGGAGCCCGACGTGGGACTTGATCCCGGGACTCCAGGATCATGCCCTGGGCCAAAGGCAGTCGCCAAACCGCTGAGCCACCCAGGGATCTCCATCCTTTTCTGTCCTTTATAAGAACACTTGTCATTGGATTTAAGACTTACCCTAAACCCAGAATGATCTCATCATAAGATCCTTAACTCGGTTACAACTGCAAAGACCCTATTTCCAAACAATATCACATTCGCAGGTACCAGGGGTTGGGACTGAGACATACCTTTTGAGGCCACTAGTCAACTATAAGCACTAAGGAAGCAGTGGGAGAGAGTGGCTGTGGGAAGATGGGAAATCCTTCCAGGAAACCCCAGAGGGAGCCAAGATTGGAGAACGCATGCCAAGCTAGACTCCTGCAACCTCCCAAAATAGACTCAGCATTTCACCCCTGTACCCTCAACCCACCAGTCCTCCCCTTCCCCAATCAGGAGAGAACTGAAAAGCAGCTAAGCCAACTCATGGTGTTCTGTGGCCTGCTGGCACTGCACTGGTCATTTCAAATGCCCAGGGGAGAGCAGAGTCGGCAACCTCCAACCTCCTCCACCCCAGCTTGAAGCTGGCAGCACCCAGAGGAGCTTTTCAAACACAAGGAAGCACTGGGAGGAGGCTCCCCCAAAGCCCTTGGTCAATCAGGGGATATCCACCCCCCAATCAGCCTACAGGGCCTGGAGCACCAGGAGTCCCCCAGCTAGGGCAAGCCTGGTAGGAAAGCCTCCTTCCAAAGCCCATGCCAGCTAAGTCAGCAAGAGGCCTCAAACCCAGTGGCCAGTGGTGAAGAGAGGACCCTGCAGGCTTCAGTAACAATCCTTTACACCGGCGTGAAGCTTTACAGCTCACAAAACGCTCTCCCCTCTCCTACCCCCTTCGATCTTCACTGTGCCTGGTTAGGTGGAGACTGCACTAAAGTGGTTCCCACTGGACACATGAGACAGTTAAGGACCAGAGAGCAAAGTGCCAGGAGTGTCTCAGCAAATATAGAGCAGAGCTGCTAACTGCCATGTGTATTCCGGATTGGAATCTGGAACAGGAAAAGGACCTTGGTGGAAATGAGGGGCGATCTGAATAAAGTCTATTATTTAGTTAAGAGTATTGTACCAATCTTAATTGCTTAGTTTTGACAAATGTACCATGGATCTGTGAACACTGATGGATGCTGGGTGAAGGGCATTTGGGACCTCTTGGTTCTGCTGGTATGGTTTGCATGCTTGTATCTCCCCAAAACTCAAGTTGAAAACTCAGACCCAGTGTGATGGTATCAGGAGGTGGCGCCTTTGGGAGGTGACTGGTCATGAGGGTGGAGCTCTCATAAGACATGGATGATCTTGTTAAAGATGCCCCAGGGAGCTAGCTCATCCCTTCCACCTCATGAGAACACAGCCAGAAGACAGCAGTCTGCAACTCTAAAGAGTGCAGTGGAACC